CCTGCTGGGTTAGGGACAATTACCTCACCTCTACTGTCTCCAGTTTCAACACTTTCTAGATGGAGGGACTGATTACCTGATCTTCTACTGTCTCTGGTTAATAAACTCTGTATTCAGCTGAAAAAGCCATTGATTTTCGAAACGCCTTCAAAATAAATATACTTAGAGTTCCTTTATTCTCATGTTGTCATGTTCTATGTGCTCATGTTCTTTTTGCTCATGTTCTTTTTGCTCATGTTCTTTTTGCTCATGTTCTTTTTGCTCATGTTTCTTTTTGCTCAGTTTTTTTTGCTCATGTTCTTTTTGCTCATTTTTTTTTTGCTCATGTTCTTTTTGCTCATGTTTCTTTTTGCTCATGTTCTTTTTGCTCATGTTCTTTTTGCTCATGTTCTTTTTGCTCATGTTCTTTTTGCTCATGTTCTTTTTGCTCATGTTCTTTTTGCTCATGTTCTTATTCTTGTGTTAAGTAATTAGCTTTGCTTCAGGTGGGATGGTGCGAAACACACTTAATGCAGAACGAATAATTATTAACTAACGTTTCGCTGTAATGACAGCCTTTCCAAAACCCACCTTTGTGCGAAACGCTGAATAATGAAATCATTATTGTGTGTGGGGAAAGTGTGTATGTGGTGTGTGTGTGTGTTGTGTGTGTGTGGTGGTGTGTGTGTGTGTGTGTGTGTGTGTGTGTGTGTGTGGTGTGTGTGTGTGTGTACCTCCACTAAGGGTCTGTTGGTCCAAAAAGCTGGGGTGACCCCACCCTGGCCACTCTCTCCATCTTGTTGTCCGGTGTCCTTGTTGCCATGTTCTATGTCCTTGTTCCTGTGTCCCTGTTCAGGTGTCCTTGTTTCTGCTTCCTTGTTGCTATGGCATGTGTCAGTGTTTCTGATATTTGTATACTTATTCCCCTGTTGTTGTTGTTGTTGCTGCTGCTACTGCATTTTGAATCTTGTTCCTGTGTCCTTGTTGCTGTCTTCTGTGTCTCCTTGTTTCTGTGTCCTCGTGGATGTCTATGTATTTTGTAAATTATCCATTAGTTTTCTAGTTTTACATCTGTATAGTTCTGTGTCACTTTGTTCTGTTGTAGTCATCATCATCATCATCATCATCATCATCATCATCATCATCATCATCATGGTCATCATAATCATAAGTACTGTCGACATCTGCCCTACCATGGCAGTGGAAGGAGTTAGAAACAGGGAGACACAGAGGGAGTGAGACACATAGGTAGCGAGAATCATAGAGAGATACAGAGAGGAAACACACAGGGAGTGAGACACATAC